TAAATGGTTGTATCTTATCAGTCTGTCTCTCTCAGGTCTGCTCAGCTACTGTCTTAAAGTATTTTCCTTTAACGCCACTGTGTGATTCTCACCTATGTTCCATAGGCTCTGTCCTCCACTGGAATTATTTGACAGCTTTAGTTACTTTAAGATTTTTAATTGAAAAAAAAAAACAACACACAATAATTTCTTATCATTCTGGCTTTCTATTCAGCAAGATTACACAAACAACTGAACGGATTCCCACAAAATTGGTGGTAGGATGCAGTATGGGTCAGTGAAGAACTTATTACATTTTGGTGCAGATCCAGGATATTTGTGTCGCTTGATTCAATTGAAAGGGCCTGTTTGGCCTGACTGGCACAGTTATTATGAGCTGTACTGAGTGACATAGTTCCAAATGTCTGTGAGTTGTTGTCAGTTCATACTGTTTTCATTTGATCTAGTGGTGAGATCACATTATCAAATATTTTACAAAGAAAAAACAAAGATCAGTGAGAAGCATAACTAATTAATACAAATTTGAGATGCAGAACTGAATATTCTATTCTTTCCTCTTTCTTTAAAATAATAATGTCATGAGTCCTCAGATCTATCATGATTAGCAACCCCAAGATCCAATCTACCGAACCGAATATAAAGTAGTTAAAACACTACTCAAGTAAACCTCTGAAAGCAAGACTTTTACTGAACATTTGCAGTATTTTTACATTATTGTTATACAGTACTGTCAGTGAAATAGTGGATTTGATCTGATTTGTTTGAACTAAGTCATTAAGACACAGTTGAGAATTATATATGATTAAAAGGCAAAGTGTGAATAAGTGGATTTTTCTAACAACTGTGGTTTGTTACTTCTATTTTTCTTCATTACTTTATTAATATTTATTAGTTGTAGGTATTAAATGAATTTCTATTCTTGACTGGAGCAACTGTTAATAAAACAAAACTTCCCCCTGTGGATGAATAAATTATTTCTGATTCTGAAGAAAAAAAATGAATTATGGTCAAGACGTTTGGGATCAAACTGATAAATGATATGTTTTCCAGCTGTAACAGTGACATCCATGAGTTAATGTCGCGTCTTTAACTTGTGAACTGGTTAAACTTTGCCCTCTCCCCTCTCCCCCTCCCCACTGGCCAGCAGGTGTCTGTGCGAGGTGAATGGAGGGGAGGAAAATAGGACCTCTGTTCTCCACTGTCCCGGGAAATGAGCTGGAAAATGAGGGGCGGGGGCGACACACCTCCTTCTCAGGACCCGCTGCACTCCTCTTTTGGCCACTTGCTGTCTCTGTCCCCCTCGATCTGTGTTCTTTGAATACAGCTGCGGTGTATGAATTTAGGAGGGTGCTTAAACAGGCCCACGATCTGTCACTCCCTGTCCCATCCTCCTCCTCCTCCTCCTCCTCCTCCTCCTCCTCCCTCCTGACCTCACTTGACTGACAGAGCCAAACTTAACTCAGGCCTTCATTCAAACTCAATCTGCTTTCAGCTCCTCTCAAAGCCTGTTTTATAGGCGAAGGCCTTGTCGACAGCTTTAAACCCCATTTTCTCTCTAATGCCACAATCGACCAAGTGTTGGAGGATTATGGTCTGTTCATGTTGTCATTATGCTGCGTGTCTTAGGAAAGCTGTTATCTGTGGTAGATGATGTGGCTGCACAGTCTACTCTCTGACTTGACTTTATACTCTTATTCCACTGTGTATTTGAATGATAATCCCACTGCTTTCAGTATGAATCAGTCAGTTCTAATCATGCTCTTTTTTATTTACTTAATTCTATTTTAAATCAGAGTTGATCCTGATTTTACTTGAGTTAATTATCTCTTTACATTTTTCTCCTCTTTACTCCTTATATCTATTATTCCTGGTATCAGACTTGTTTTTAATAGTACCTTTCATGCAAAAGTTGTAATACAAGGTGTTAACAATGCAGTAAAAAATGAAATAATGAATGAAAGTATAATGAATTTAAAAGTAGTATTATAGTACTTATAATAATGAAAAATAGAATGAAATAAAGGAGGTAGATTAGATAGAGAGAAAGTTAATGTAGGTGAACTAAAGGTAGTGTGAAGTACTTTAAAACTTGGGTTTTGCAAAGTGCTCTTTAGATAAAAATATGTTGTTATTATTATTATTATTATTATTATTATTTCTTTTTAATCATTAAATTCATAACCCTCTTATAATGGGATGAATTCAGTGTATGGATTATTCGGTTTTGAGCTGCTATTTTCATTTTGGTCACAGTAACATTGATATCTGAGCACAGGGCAAATATCTCCCAGAGTTTCAAACAAGCGAACGACGACATGAAATGTTATCAGCTCATCACTTGTTGGTGACACTTGTTGTGGTCGAACAGAGTTTTTGTTTAAGATGTATAATATCAAACCCAACTGTGGTTTGTTAGAATGCAGCTCTATGACTCAGACCATGTGTCCATGTGTCAGAGTACATGCTGCTGTAGTGAAGACCCAGCAGTTGTTCACTGTGGAAGGAGGATTTCTTCTACTTGAAAATTAAACTTATGTTACTGTCTACCACAACACATATCCCCTTTTATCTGTGCTACTGTATAGCACCACCAACTATAACTATTAGTAGTACATTTAGTGAAATACTGTACTGAGTTCTGATACCTGTACCGTAATATTTTATGAGATTTAAGAAGATTTAGTCCTTTATGGTTTGAAGGGAAATATCATACTTATATTTTTTTAGTACCAGTTAATTTACAGAATCCTTTTTTAAACAAGTTTATAAAACATGATGCTCCACTTCAACTAAATACATAATAATAATAATATTTAATAGTATGACAATATTTTCAATTTTTTACATTTCAGCTAAATTCTTTAATAATTTAAGGATATTTTAAGCTACAATCTGGACTTAAAGAAGTGGAGAATTTTATGTTGTAGTGTTAAAGGATCTGAGAACTTCCTCCATCACTGGATATGTGATGAAATATGAAAGATTTTGTCCAATAAAATGATGCTTCTTTGAAGTTAATTGATTTTTTTCATCAAGTTTAAATAACTCTTTGTGTTGCACATGTAGTCGTGAAGTTTGTGGAACTGGTCGTCTGCTCCACGTTGAATGGAGCGTGAATTATTAATGCTGAGCTGAAATCATGGTGTCAGTGTGGTCGTCCATTTATCTCCCATTTGAAATGTGAGCTGCCATTGAAACCTCTAATGTGCCAACAGCCACCTGTAATGACTGCGTCAAATACAATCTGTATTCTCCACTGCTGAGTGCGACCCCACTGTGACCATTAGAGGAGTCCCCGGGGAGCGTGTGAAAAGTGTGTCTACCCCATGAATGTGTGAAGTGTGTGTGTGTGAGGAGCGAGCAGCAGGCAGAAGGCCAGGGGGCTGTTGTCTGACACTGATTTGTAAAGGGAGACAATACGGCTCATTGACCTGCCCCGGCTCCACTGTCTGTTGCACATACCTCGTCGGCCCAGCCCTCCCCAGTGGCTTCACTGCTCTTTAAACATGAGCAGCAGATTGCCACAGGCGCAGGGAGGGGAGGCCGACGGGACACAGGTTGCTTTGACAATGAGAATCCAGAGAGTAAAGAGAGGGATGAGGCTTGGAGAAGTTTAATACAACAAGTACCTTTCAGGAGTTGTTCAACAAAAACAGGATTCGTTTGTGTTTCTCATCCAAGAGGCATCTTCAGTTCCTATACCAAAAAAAGTCCAGTTGCCTATGAGCAACTCCTGAAGACGCCATGACCTGATGACAGATTAACATTTATTTTACTCATTGTAGGTCTTTGAAACAAGACTTCAGACAATGAGTAGTTTCAGGCTCGAAATCCCTTGAAAAAACCTCCTTGTTTCCTGTGATGGGAACTCATGTTCGTGCTCTATTTGCAAATAAACATGAACCTCACACGATTGGATAATTTCTGCATAAATTAAAACTTGCCATCGCAGACAATTTGCACAATGAGCCATCATCAAAGTCGTAAAGACTTCCTGAGCAAATTTGAAGTGGATGTGATCAACCTGCTTTGAAAAATAAAAAAACATGACACACATATGGTAGTAAGTTCCCATTTGGTTCATTCATTGCATTTATTTGCATCCAGCACTTGTTGTTATAAAGTCATTTCGGTTAATGAAAAGAGCCTCAAGTTCTGTCTTTAAATATTTATCAAAAAAAATAATCAAGAAGGCAAAGATAATTTATACAATTGTAAAAGGCAAGAAAAAAAAAGGTTCACATTTGTGATGCTGAAACCAGCACATGTGGACCATTCGCTCTTGAAAAACAATTTACTCAGAATTTCAGCTCCATTGCCCTTCACAGATTCACAGTTTGATTTAGTTCGTCTGGCCTGAAGCAGGTTCCCACAAGAACAAAAAAAAACAGTTGTATTATTTATATTTGCAAGAACATCTATATTTTATTTCATCATATAACTTTTGAACTTTAACCTGGGATCCAGTGTTGGAATATGATAATATTCCTTGTATCTATCCCAGTAGCTATGATTTAACATCCATCCATGTGTTCGACGTATTTCTTGCCCTCTGCACGTTGTAAACAAACACCCTCATCCTTTTGTCATCCATTCCCATTGTCAGAGTGTGGAGGTGACCTTTTCTCTCCCCTCTCTCTGTCTCTCTCTGCCTCTCACCCCTCGCAGCCTTTTCTTTTCCTCCCTTCTCTCTTTCACTGTCGAAGACAAGCTGTTGCTCTGTCCCCTGCGGGCCACTCCCTCTCTTGTCTGCTCCTCTCTCCTCCTCCCCTGCCTCCCTCTCTCCCCTCGCTCTCCTCCTTCCCCCCCTCCCCACCTGTTGGAACGATTGTTGCGCAGACTGTATTGTTGTCCTCTTATTATTTTATGTCACTCATGAGGGTCCCCACCCCTCTCTGCCTCTGACTTTCTGCCACTCCCTCTCCCTCTCTTTCCCTTCTGGGTATAAAACTCAGAGGACTCAGCTGGAGGCTGATATTCTGCACAGCACCACAGGACGAGTCCAGGTTTCAAGAAGGGGATAAAAGGATCTGCAGGGATTTCCACACAACCCTTTACCTGCACAGCAGCTCAGGTGGCAGAAGGACAGTATCTGCTGTTTTTCCTTCCCAGTTGGACATAAACAGGCTCATATTTTACCCATCAGGCTGTGCAGATGGACAGAGGCATGTCTGTGTCTCTGTGGTGCGAAGAGGTCGAGGATGACCAGAGTCAGGAGCAGGGCCAGGTCCCCATCAGAGGCTCGTCCCAGCTGCGTGCCGCCTGGGACCCCACTGTCTCGGGGCACCGTGTGATCCTGAGGCTGCTTCACGTGGAGGAGAGATACATGCCCTCCATGCTCTACATCGCCCTCATCCAGAGGGATCCAGAGCGCAGGGAGGAGCTGGCCAAGTGGGCCCTGGAGGTATGAAACCTTTCATTCAGCCTCACGATCCTGGATAAGTTGTGTCATCGCAGCAGCTGTGACACTGGTGTCCTCTGTCTTTTCTCTACAGGTGTGCTGTGAGAGTGGTTGTGATGAGACAGTGTTTCCTCTGTCTGTCTCTCTGATGGACCGCTACCTGTCTGCCACTCTGTCTGTGCCTGTCTCACCATACTGCCTGGCTGCTGGCTGCATCCTCATCGCATCCAAACTCACAGAGTGTGACAACTTCACCGCAGACACTCTCTGTGCTGCAGCCGAGTACAGCTTCCAGCCTTCCACCCTGCGGGTGAGTCCATCACTTGGTCATTGAGGCTGGAGTTAAAGACTCCAGTCAAGGTGACAACGCTGGTTAATTTCCACTTGTGCCCCTAACACCATCGCTAACTTAAATCACGTTGCAGTGTAAATTCTGTTAAACTGTGATTTTAAACTCATAATATCTTTTATACCTTTTATGGTACTAAAGCTTTATGAGAAAACATTAAAGTAGTTATATTATAGTATATTGTGGCAAAATATAAGTGGAATTGTAGAGAAACAAACAAATAAAAAAGTATCTCAT